TTTTTTTTTTTTTTTTTCTTTGACACTATGGGTTGGGTTAATCTCTTAGGACTTCAGCCATTTACGGGAGAGCTAGTTGATCAGACTTGCCAGTTCATAAAATGGAAGGGACATTTCTGGGATGTGATCCATCTTATCCTAAGTCAGGTGAATTGTATCTTAAAGGTGCCAATTTCTGGTTTCTCCAATCTATGCAACTAGCCCTGCATTATTATCATCCCTTGCTGCCCTGGAGAGTGAGTGCTGCAGTATTGTGGCTGAAATACTAATTTTTTGTGTGAACAAGGATAAATGAACTTTCAAGAACAAATGTTCATTTTTAGATATCTGAAATAACCTCACTGAAGTCAGTAGTCTACCTGCTTGTCTGGTAGTTGAATTTAATGGAAAAATTCTGATTTACACTACGAAACTTTACCATTGAGAATGTACACAAAAATGTTCTGATGAGGTTCTTTGTTGTAAGTGCAAATGGCCTTGTCCACTACAACAGCAGGAATGGGCACATTCTAGCTCATCAGAAGAGTATCTGATTAGTCCTGTGTGTCATGTCTTTCTGTGTAAATTCTTGCATGCCAGCGTAACCGTAATGGTGATGTCCTGTATGTCTCGACAAAGAAGGAGGTCATGGTTTGAAGTAGGCAGCTCAGGGCATGTCCTGGAACAGTCATGGACTGTTTTGCTTCAGTGGGACAGTGCAAAGTGAACTAATTTGTTAAAGATACGTTAAGTACAGCAGTTATACAGAGTTGTCATTTTGAAGGTATCTCCCGCTACTGTCTTAAATAACTCAATAATAAGGATAAGGAGCACTTAGGGTTTCCATACATTTCAGCACTAGGGTTGAATGCTTTTCCATGGCACTGGAATGAGAGTAGGGTTCATTCTGTAAATTCTTCTGCTTCATTCCTTGGCAGAAGAGTGATGAAATAAATATGAAAAAAATGAGTGGTGTTTTAATAAAGCAAATTAACTGAGAGAGACTAGCTGCTTAGAGTGCTCCCTAGGGCAGACTGTAGTAGCATATTGATATTTAAACATCTTTGTCTGAAATATACACGAGAATATGACTTTACATATTATAGGCTGCATGTGTGGTTATATATAAATAAGGATGTGTGTGTATATATATGTACATATACACATACATACACACACACACATATATATTACTATTATCTAACTCATTTTCCCATTGTAGACGAGCCTGGAGGGAACAAAGTAGTCCTAGTGTGGAGATTTCTACATCTGCCCTTCAGGCAGCTATCAGACAGAAACAGCATGTCTACATAAATCAGTGTAAGTCAGCACATTTTTCAACAGCTCAGGGCCCTAAGCACAGAGCCACTTATGAGCACACTGCTCCATAGTTTGTTCACAGACCTCCCATGCCAGCAGCGGGGAAGTCAGACCATTCTATTCAACATATTACAGTAACCAGATGCAGCATAAGGAAATTGCCTTTCAAAGCTATAGTCTGCACAAGGCTACTCCAAGCAAAGCAGTGATGTCTAGCATCCATATTTTCTCTTCTGCTTGTTTTTCCGGCGTTTTTGGCCCTCAACTGCCCAAGATGAGGTGTTACTCTCTTGTTTTGCAAGCAAGCTTGAATGTCATTTTAGATTCTGAAGCAGTAGTTTTCACTTGGTCAGAGGCAAAGTCTGTATATCAGTTATAAGTGGTCCACAAAAAGTAACAGAATAAAAACCTGTTGTCAGTATGTTTAAATACCTAGTGTCAGTGGAGAGTATATAGGTCCAGAGGAAATTGAAAGGGTTTGTAAATTGGAGAAAGGTTGAAAATCTCTGATGAACAATCCAAATCCATGAACTTGAAGGTCTTTCATTTTCCTAGTGCAGAGACTCCAACCTTATCTCACAGAAGAGGATAGTTTCTTTCCACAGACACAAAAGAAGCAGTTCCTCGGTCTTCAGCTGTAGTAGGAAGACTTACATGAAGGCAAAGTGAAAATAGGTTTAGCATAGATATGAGTTACGCTTTCCATGCAGCCTGTTTGTGTTAAGGATGTCTCTATAGGACTGCAAGTAAACTTTCTTAGAGACAAGATGGTCAAAAAAAAAAAAAAAAAAAAAAAAAGTTTAAAAAAACCAAGCTGAGGAACACTCCCCTGCCTTGCTCAGGTTAATCAGACAGTTGCCTCTGACCAAAGGCAATCTACAGCTGTGCACTATATTGTGAAATGTAGAGTAGAGCATTTCTCATTACTAGCTAAAAGGTTATGGTCCAGATTCAGTAACTAATCTTTACACCTAAGTGCACGTGTCATCAGTTTTTCCTTCAATGGAGAGAGATGTCTGTGCTCTCCATGACCAGACTGTAACACTGGTCTTGACTTTTCTGCTTTCTTGCCCTGACAATTTGGGTTGTAGATGTATCCAGTTGTTGACTATCCATGCACCACTCTTCTCCATTGTACTCTGTGATCTCCTTAGGTGGAAAGAGAGTTGCTCTTCACTATAGATGGTGGAATCACAGGTTCGTGCTTTGGAAATGCACAAATGTGCATGTGACTTGGTTTCATCTGAAGACCTCTTCTGCCCTTGTGGTGATGAGGCGGCAGGATGCTGACCAGAGGGAATGACACTGAATCCCTGCACAAGAGTGGATAGTGTCAGGTAAAAAGAAGATACATGTTATCCTATAGCAGTGAATGAGTTTATGGACATGTTATCTTGATAAATGGTTTAGTAGCACAGTAAGGAAACCATCAAATGTCTACTCTTGAGGTACTGGAAAAACTTTCTCATGGACTACAACATGTTGCTTGTGGTTGAGGAAATAAGCAGCCTGACTGTCCACAGCCCAGATGTGGGACCAGTGACAAAAGCAAAGCTGAAAGAAAAAGCAGAGCAGAAAACAGAGCAGAAATAGTTTTCCTCAGTATAAGCAAGGTTTCAGGTATCTACTACTTCATACTCGGACAATTCTAGTGTTACCAAACTCCAGTAACAGAGGGATGAAAGATCACTGGGACTGCTGGCAATACAGGGGGACACATTTCAAACGGTATTAAGAGCCTTTGCTGTGTGAGGCAGTGAACGAAAATACTGGAATTCTGTAACACCTGAAACATATGACATTAAATAACATTTTATCAATGCTTATATCTGTCAAGTGCAGTTTCTAGTGATTTTGGTTTTATTAACTGAGGTAAACTTAATAATTGAGAATTTTTCTGTTATAGTCCCATTATTGTTCTTTCTTCTCAGAAATACTACATAAGAATTTAAGGCAGTGCCTAGTATAGACTAATAGGTCCGTTGGAAGTTGGGTGTTTTAAAGTATAATGCTTTGAAAAGGCTGAAATAAATTTGAGGCTATAAAAAAAAATGTATGATATTAAAATGTAAAGCAAGAGATGTTAACTCCAGTTGATGAGTCATGCCTGTTAATCTGTAGCATAAACTCAAATTTGTAGTTAAGGACAGTTTTCTGAAACTTGACTAGGCTGGTTTCTGTGTTATGAGGGGCAGTAACACCTCTCTGTTAAAAGTGGTTTGCTTTTTAATAGGATTTAACCATAATTAACTGTTTTTTGCTGGTTGTTCAAAATAGTTCCACCTCAGGTTGGTCAACTATTGTTTGCTTAGTCTCAGCATTCCACAGAAATGCTGCTTTAAGCTTGTCTTTCAGTGAATCACATGTTTGTACAATAACAGATTTGTTTGTTAAATGAACTTAATGACAGAAATAAATGAACTTAATGACAGAAATAAATCTGTATTCAGGGTGAGTCACTTTGTGGTCCATCCAGAACCATCATTCTCTCTCTCTAAATTGTCCGATCATAACCAAAAGGAATATTTTCACAGGAAAGTACAGCTCTAAGATGTGCGTCAGTATGATCCCAGTTTTTGTGTCACTGACTGCTCGTTCCTGTTTAAGTAAATTAGCAAATCCCATGAGAAATCCCATAGCCCTTTCTTGTTTCAGCGTTTCTATTGGTTTTGATATTTATCAATTCCTTTGACTACATGTGAGCAAGCGATGGTGATTTGGACTTATATCATTTTATACTGCTGTAGTAAAGATGACGATGGATTATCTTCCAAATGTCAGTCACATACTTTCTTTTTTTTTTTTTTTTTTTTTATTTGCAAGTTCATCCGCTAGTCTCTCTTGTATGCTAGCTTTTCTCGCAGTTGCTTGCCTTTTTGTCCTTCCTGCTCTTAAATCCCTCAGTTACACTAGGTTGGTGGAAATTGTTTAAATGTACAACCCAAATTCTCCAGTGAGGTTTGGCTAACCAACAAGCTATTCAAGTGGTTTTGTCTCCCGAGTATGTCTTCATCCTCTGCTTTTCCAGGTTGCTTGAATATCCTTGAACCCATAATTTACCCTAATCTCCTCTAAGGCTTTGAAATAATAAAATACTTAAATAAAACTCTTTGGATAAATGCCCTTTAAAATATAGCTTTATCTGTGAACTATCATGCTCTCGAGGGAGCAGATTCTGTTCCTCAGACGATTAAGGGGATTTTCTGTCCACTGTGTCACTGTGGTTTGTCCACTGTGATCAGGCATACCCATCTTAACTCCTGCAACAACTCAAAACAGAAAACATGAGGAAAGTCTGGGAGAAAAATGGGACAGAGGCTAGACTGTTGCTGTATGTGATTTTTTTTCCTGGTGTCTGGGTTCAATTCCCTGATCTACCACATGATTTTCTGTGGGTCATGAAGCCTTCCTGTGCTTTTGAAAAATAATTCTCTGCTCAACAGGGATGTTGCTGAGGATAAATTAAGGGTGGCAAAGTGCCTAGCCATTACAGAGGGGTAGTCTTATACACACAGAAAGGCTGTACTCAAATCCTTTCTTTATAAAATAGGAAGAGAGGGATCACTTGATTTGCCACTGCCAAATCCACAGGGGAAGACTGAGGCAGAGCAGAGGACTGGATCTAGATTTTCTTCCAGAGGCCCTGTGTAGTCCATTTTTCCTTGAAAAGTCCTTTTCACAGTCTTAGCTAGGTCTAAACCATGAAACTTCCATATGCCTCCCAGGCAAGAAAGGGAGGCTTTGAAGACGCCACTGGGACTCCCCTTCTTCCAGCTCGTCAGGGCACCTTGGCGGGCCCTGGACACTGGCATAATTTGGTCAGCATCATGGGATCCTGTCTTTACTGTTGCTCATTTTGCAGGTAAAGGGAGATGACTTTAATTTTCCTCACTTCCCATTCATCTCAGCTAATTATTAATTTCTGTCAGCAAGAAAGATCTACAAAATAGCACCAAAATGGGGGGAAAAGAAACATCTCTTCTCCACTTTGAAGCTCTATAGCTAAATTCCAGGAAGAAAGATTTGGGGTTTGTGTGTAATTTGTGAGTAATTTGCAAGTAATTTGCTTCTGATGCTAATTGTTATTAAAAATGAAAAATTGCTCTAAAACGTTGGGAAAAGGAAGCTTTCCTTTTTATGTTACTGTACCACTAAAATATAAAAATTCTGGTCAAAATCCAACCAAATGACTATTATTTTAAAGCAATACCTTTGAGATTGTCTTTCCATTTTCAGGCATACTCTTCAGAAGTACATCTGTATTTCTTCATGTTAAGTGACAGGAAATGCAAATAGACCACAGTTTAAGTATGAAGATTAAGGAGATTTATGACTCTATACATTTTTTTTCTGTAATAAAATGCAGGGAAGCTATATGTAGCAAATGTTTTCCGAATTTTTTAACTAGTGCTACTCTTTCTTGCTCAAATACTACATTTGTCCTATTTTTTTTCTTGAAATTGACCTTCTAGTAGTCTCAGTTTCTGATCTGAAGTTCAAAATTTTCTGTACCCAAGGTTTATGATGATGAAGTAACACCAGTGAAACTAGTGCTTCAGCAGGATGAAAACCTTTCCTCAGGTGCCTCTTAATACTCAGGAGAATTATTATCTCCTGGTAGCTATATGCCTTGCTTAATTTTGTGCTTATTCAGAAACATCAAAAGGATAGAGAAATTAATCCTAGGCCTTACTGAATCCACCTCCTCCCTAGTCCCTGCTTTTCAGGAGCTCAGAAGGCAAAGCACTGTCTTTGGTTTTGTCTGTTTTTTTGTCTGACATGCAGTGGCATCAGAACTGATTATTATTTTGGCAGCGTGTTTCAGGCTGAGCAGCTCCTGCTTTTCACAGTGCCAAAGATGATGCCAAACTCATGAGCCTTGCCTGCAGTCTTGGGGGTGGAGGGGTGAACAATTAGACCTGGTTCAATGTTGCTTCATGGCAGGACTAGGAGGAGCATTTGTTGAAATTCATAATGGGAACAACCTAAAATGCTTCTGTCAGCCTATACCCACTCACTGTCTTCTGGAGGAGATGAGATGGAATTTCTGAGAAAGGGAGAATATGTGGTGCAATGAGTGGAACTGACAGGATTTGAATAGCAGGGGCCTTGCAGGGCTTTCCATTTTGAGAGGAGGACATGAACTGCCCTGTGCTTCTCCAGAAAAAAGTACTGTAACCCACAGGTGACCCACACTGATGCAAGGACATTTCTGCCATCACCATTATTGCTCTGCAGACTCCAAACCACTGTTTTCAGCTTCATAATGATCGAAGGAGATTCTGAGATTTCTTAATTGTGATAGTGGACTTAGTGTATATTACAGAAATGTTGTAATCACTACCATTTCAAAGGAGCAGCTGAATAACCCCAGATATGATGAATCAGCGAGTATTTAAACAGGCTAAAAAAGGCAGAGCTTTCTTTTCAGTTTTGCGTAATATTTGCATGTCTTCCCTGGGGAAGGGGATCAGAGAGCAGTTTTCTCATGAGAATAGCATTCCTACAGCATTAATTTATTTTTTCTAGTTTTTGAGAGTGGACCAAGACAAAGACAGAGAATGCAGCCTGGACTGTGCAGGTTCCCCTCAGAAATCACTCTGTGCATCTGACGGAAGAACTTTTCTGTCCCGGTGTGAATTTCAGCGAGCAAAATGCAAAGACCCTCAGCTGGAAATAGCCTACCGGGGCAACTGTAAAGGTGAGCAAATAAAAATTTCTATTGACCATAATGAAAAATAATAGACTTTAAATTATATTTGAAAATGTCTTAGTATTGCAAACTGATAGTGCTCTACTTGAAGGGTTTTCTAAAAGCAAGTAAGATGGAATTGGTACTGTTAATTCTATAACAATATGTTACATAAATTAATCTTTATCCATCAGCAGAAATATGACCCTCCACCCATTTACACTATAATAAGTCAATGTTAAGCAAATTGCAAGGCTAGGTCTTTGTTCTGAAGGACCATATCACTGGCAGGCTCAGAGTAACTCAAGATTATCTCCTGAGGTTTCTTGTCTAATGCAGCTTGGTATTTTGAGTTAGAGATGGTCAAATTCAGTCTTGTGTTTCCTAACTGCAATAATTTTAGTGGGGAGGGGGGGCGGGGGGGAGGGAGGGGGACGGACAAGAGGGGAAAAAAAAAGGGTTATAATGTTTAGAGCCCTCACAGGCCATTCTTACCTACATCGTCCACTCTTCTGATCTCTGTTTAGAGAAACTGAGTGGCATGCAAAGCCTAGCACTTCAGTTCCAATACTTATATTCACAGCCAAATCTTTTCACTTTTAGAGTAGCCTGGTGCTAGAGAATGCAGTTCCTTACTGAAGTGTAGGGTGATTCCCAACACAATGATCTTTCTAAAGTGTAAGAATAGCAGTGGTCATAAAGATTTACTTTCCCTTTCTCTCTGTCCAGAAGAGGGGGGAGGGAGGGGGGAAGAAAGCCCCGGGGACCACACCGATTCAACCTCTAGGAGGCAATTTTCCACATCATCTCTCTCCATTAGCTCCAGCAAACCTCTGAAGCATCAAGACTGCTTCAAAGAGATATTCTGTCTCATCTTCTGCCTAGATGAAATACTATGCTCGTTCTTCACCCCCTTCATAATGAGCCATTGTATTAGCTGATGGATCTATTTACTTTTGTGAACAAGGATAATGTAATGAAGCTACCTGAGCCAAAGCTTTTGTTACACTCATGAACAACAGAGGGAATTATTGTTCACTTTATATTTGTTCATTTTATACATGAGACCATTATATAGTTTTATGGAAATTAGTTTTGAGTGTTTTTCTTTATTGTTTTTATTTCTTACCATATTGACAATGTTATCTGCAAGAAATTTTTTCCATAAAGATGTGTTGAATTGCCCTACTAAAGGTGTCATCAGCAATGCTGACAAATTCTTCTGCAGTTAGTAACTACAACTTGGAGAAGTGCTCTTCTGCTATTTATTAATGAATAAATAGTGTGTCAGTACAATTGTAGACTTGGAATTAGACACTTTAGGCAGCTTAAGTATTGCTAATAGTAAACATACATCGTGCCCTCATCAATCAGATGTTTTTAATCTTTCAATTAAATGAATGCAAACATCAATTTAATGTTTAAATATTTTTTCCTTTGATTAACAATAGACATATGATTGCTAATAATATACTTGGTCATTATCAGCAAAAGACCAATGCACTTAATTTTACATTTTCATAGTACTTCTCATTCAGTCAAATCAGTCTTAAATGTTAAAGTGACCAGTTTCTTTATTCCTACCCATGGCTGCAATCATCAGAAATATTTTAAGCTGTAAAAACAAGTTTTAGAGAAGAAAAAGATGATTTGTTGGCCTACCTGCAGTTTCAGTTTTAGCACTGCTAGAGCTACTTTTGATAGTCCCATCAAACATTCTTCTGAAAGAGCTAAGGAAGTCCTCAGATTAATACCTCTTTTGAACTGGTTGCTTTTGAGTGGTGAACTTTGTTGTTGCAGGTGATGCTTGACCAGAGAGAAGAGGGTTGTTTTAGTAGGGCTAACCAAAAGGTGATTGTTCCATTTCAGGGCACATTTCAAGGTTTCAGAACATGGAATGAAAGCAAATCCTTTGGAAGTGTTCATCTATCCCCCCAAAAAACAGATACCCCATCCCTACCCCCCATTTAAACATTAGTTTTGAAGCAAGTTTTGAGGTTGCTAATGTGGGAAAAAGGGAGAGAAACATGCATGTTTGTATGTGGAAGTTATGAAGGGAGAAAAGAGATAATTTGTGGTATAGGATTCACAACTTTTCATCTGTGTCTGGTATTGATCCATCATTGATTGGAAAAGACTTAGGTGTGTGTCTGTCTCCTCCTGTGTTCTTCTCAGGTAAAAATCCCTGTTTACCTCACAGATACCTTGCCTGAAAATTAAATACTTTCAGATACCATTTTAATTAGTTGAAAATATGGTGAGCAGCTTTTTGTTCAGTTGTCTGTTCACTAGAAATTTGAACACCTTGACAGTTTATGTCTACAACCTTTTGGAATAACTTTGAGTCCATCTTTTCTTGTCTATATATTCAGAACTGTGATTTGTTTTACATCTATAAGGGAGCTTGAACCACTGCCACAATGATGGCTGCTTTCTCTGTGTCTTTTTCTCTGAGAAAGCCAAATTTAGATTGACTATTTTTTCTCCTCTTCACCTATTCTCAACATTTATCTCATCTGTTTGGGTTTGATCACTTAAATAGCAAAATTACAAAGGGATAGTTTGCTTTAAATATGTTTTCTTTCCTTTCTTGATTCGAGTTTCATTCACAGAAACAGTGCTCAGCCCAGGTATTTTTTTAGCATTGCAAAGGAAACCATTTTTAGATCCTGGATCTTGAAACTGAAAGACAGAAAACTGGCAGAATTTAAACCATTTGCTTTTCTTGCACTCCTGTCCTTCTAGTTCTTGATGGCTGCAGCAGAGATCAAAACATCTTAAACAAATCTGAAAATGAATGAACATTGAACCTTCCCCTCCGCTCCGAAAAACAACTAATCTTTGACAAAATAAGCATCAAAATAGATTGTTCTAATAGTGAGTTTTTCTGAAGACATTACAAAGTTTTATAGTAGGTTTTTTTTTTTTTTTTTTGCAGTCCACTACCAGGCAGTGCTGGAATCCATTGCTAAGCTTGGAAATGCTGTAAGAAGCTACAATCTCATAAAATTTCCAGCCTGCTTTTGCAGTTTGAAAGGTCTCAAATAATCTGTGTACACTGTAAATGGACATCCACATTTTTGGATACTTTTTCAAACAAAATCTAAACTCTGAAGTTCTGGAGATTTTCCGCTTGCTTGATGCAGATGTTTACTGTGCAACAGGATTATAAATCTAATAAATAAAAGTATGTTGACAGTTGAGAAATATTATTTGTGTTTGGGAGCCTGTTAAAATATCACCTGTGGTGGGGACCCACTCTATGCACACACAAATGTGTCATAGTTCATCTGGCCTAGCACAGAGAACGAAAGAAAACATACAAGAAGTGGAAAAAGCACTATGATTGCTTTTAAACTGGTCAGAAAGACACAGAGGCTTTGTCTATGCTAATTGATTAAGCAGTGCCAGGACACAGTATGGCTGCCTACACAGGTGAGCTGGCAGAGTGCTCTCTGTTCCATTTTGAGCATGGGCCAGGTAGCGCTTTCCCGAGGACTGTATCCACATGGCCCAGGGGTTAGACGGGCCAGGGACTGTTCCCAGCAGGCAGCATGCACAGAGCAACAGTCTTATAGGGGGTTAATGCTGTTCAATCTGAGAACTGAGTCTTAACTACTCTTACAGGACTTCCCTGACACATGTAAGGGTAGATTTATTCCTATGACTAATACAAACTCAGGCAGAAGTCCTTTAGCGCTCAGCCTTATTCCTTCCACTACAGCTGGTGAGAGTGGGACAGGAGAGCTCGGGATGTCACACAGGAAGGCTTTGTAACTTACTGAACTGAGCCTTTGATACTCCTTGTTACTGCAGGCAAAAAGTACAAGTTGAAGTTTCTTAGTCCTGAAAAAAGACCAATCATGCAGAAGTACCATGTTTACAGAAAAAATAATAGTTAAAAAAAGCTTTATTCTAAAAAAGATAAAAGCCCATTTAATTTGTATCTCTGAATGATGCAGTTGCACATTATGAGTAGGAATTGTTACCGAGCACTACAGTCTCCCGTAGGGACAGTAGCTACAGTTTTACATTTAATGGAGATTTTACATGATTCGGAACACAGTATAGGTTACACCAAAAAGCTGTGCTTGTAGAAAACTGAAGTGCACAAGACATCAGCTAAAAGGGTCTTCCCCTTATGTAATGGGAGATGCATTGCTAAGTAAGGATCTCCTTCTTTATCTTACAAATAAGCCTAATGTAAGCCTAAATGTCTGTCACAAATCATGATAGATGAAACTATCTGAAACAAATTTTTTTTTTTTTTTTTTTTTATTAAAGGAGCATCTAGTATATCCAATAAGAAGAGGTCTGTGTTTTTTTTTTTCTTTGTTAACTGTTCAAAATTAATCTAAAATTGTCATATTACTGTAGAATGACAGTGCAAAGAAAATTCCAGTTTTTTATTGTCACGAAAATTTTACATTATAAATTAAAAAAAAAAAAAAAAAAGAGAGAATGCTTCAAGTAATTTCTGCAGACTCCTATCAGTTTCACCTATGCTAAAATCTGTCAGGCTTGCTACCCTATTTATTTTCCACTATTGAATAGGTTTTTTCCCATGAACTTTGAAAATGTGAACTCATATTTTCCTTCATAAGTTTTCAAATAATTTAGGCTTTTTAAGCAGTTTTCTCTGACGGTAAATAGTGTGTATTAACTTTGAAACCTAAAATTATGATGCTGGGTGGAGGCGAGTGGGATTGAAGGTTTTTTCAGTGAAACTGCCTTTTTTTTTGACATGACAACAAGCTTTAGTCCTATCTAGGTTAGTGGAAGATTTTCTAAGGGATTAATGGAGTTTTTCAGAGTTCAGAAACTTTGAATAACACCATTCCCATTGGACAGCTTTTCATCTTCCACCTTGGCAACTTCAGGTCTCAAGTGTAGAAAGTCTTGTTCAAAGTGAGAAATAACCTGTAACAGGAGTGTCTAGTGGAGGTATCACAGTTTTTCTCTCTAAAGGACCATCAAACGAACAGTGACTACTGGCCAGCAGCAGATCA